GGGTGGCAGCATAAGTTCATTTGAACATACCTGTGATCCTTCCTCAGCCTCTGGACCCTCGGTGCTGGCACTGGCGCCATGCTGACAGCGGTGGGCTGAACTGTGCTCCCCCTCCCCCAGCAATACTGAAGGAAGAAATTTTTTATAATGAGAGTGGTGAGGCACTGGAATGGGTTGCCCAGAGAGGTGATCAATGCCCCGTCCCTGGAACCATCCAAGGCCAGATTGGATGAGGTTCAGAGCAACCTGATCTGGTTGAAGATGTCCCTGCCCATGGCAGGGGTTTGGACAAGATGGCCTTTAACGGTCCCTTCCCATCCAAACCATTCTGTGATTCAATGATTTGATCATTCTTGCTCCAGAGGGACTGTGAAGAAGGGATCACTCTGGTTTTATCCCAGTATTGCATTTGCACTCAGCTGCTTCTTCTGCACCCACATTCGAGTTCATGTTTCTCTGACTGAGAGGAGCTAAGAGGGTGCTGCACTGAAGAGCAAACTGCTGGGCCATTGCAAACTCCGTGCGCAGTACGGCACAGGCAGCCCATGGGTTCCCTCCAGAGCCTCTCCGGGTGCCCGATGATGTGCTGGGTTCGGAGCCGTGCTCGGGTCTCCCCGCGCTCTGACTGCACCTTGCCGGCGTGCGTGAGCTTGCTGCCTGCACAGCCCCTTGCCAAGGCACCCTTGGCACACCGGGTCAAAGTACTTCTCCAGGTTAGTTTGGAGGAGAAACAGTTCCTGGAGAGCTCGGGAGCAGCTCCAGCCTTGCAGCGCATAAGCATCATCGCTTCAGTACGCTCCTGCTCCGAGAGACCTTGCGGGGATTTGAAATTGTTGGTCGAGATCACAGATAAGGGAGATCTCAGTCAGTGCTGAGGTGAAACTTCACGGTTCTAAAAAGAGCAGGAGGGAGAGAATCAGAGATGATAATCTGCACTCTTGGAAGGATTTAATTTCCATTTTAATAAGCGAGTTGGTGGCCATCGGGGCCACATTCCCCCACCTCCAGCTATGCAGAGCGCAGCGGCTTCAAACGGGCTCCTGGCCAGTTGCCATCACCTTGCCGCTGTGAGCCCTTGGGGCTTTGTCTCTGTCGCTGTGAGCTGTTGTTTTCCTTATTCCAAATGACCTGCCCGGAGCCCTGGGAAAGGTGGGCAGGAAGCTCAGTGGTGCCAGCACGGCTGCAGCTGCAGGCAGTGCCGCTTCAGAGCCCTTCCTGCAGCACAGGTTACACTGAAAACAGAACTTTCTTCCTCTTAGAAGAGGCTCTTCTCGTTCCACAGGAAAGGATTTGGAGAGACATCGCCAGCACGCGGTACAGGAGTGGTTCCGTACTCTTATTACTGAAGTGACGTGCTCTGTGTATTATAGAATCATAGAATGGTTTGGGTTGGAAGGGACCTCAAAGACCATCTAGTTCCAACCCCCCTGCCATGGGTAGGGACACCCTCCACTACACCAGGTTGCTCAAAGCCCCATCCAGCCTGGCCTTGAACACTTCCAGGGATGGGGCAGCCACAACTTCTCTGGGCAGCCTGTCGTGGGTTCGACTCTGTGCCACTCACACACGAGCAAAATCACTGTTCTTGGGCCGGAGACTGACAGAAGAGCCCTTGAAGGGCTGGGAGGGTGTTCAGGAGCAGCGCAGAGGCTGACCTTTTTCTTCTTTAATCTTCCCTTTGTTGTTTCTGTAGGGAGATACTCCAGGAAATTCAGCGTCTCAGGCTGGAACACGAACAAGCCTCTCAGCCCACCCCGGAGAAGGCACAGCAGAACCCGACGCTGTTGGCTGAGCTCAGGCTTCTACGGTAAAAGAAATACCTAAAGCTCGTGTGTGATCGGTGCTGCGGCCAGTGAGGCCGTGGGGGCTGCTCCAGAGCACCAGCTGCTCCTGGGGAAGGGGTGACACCAGCGTATCTTCAGTGACCTAAAAGTCAGTTTAAACTGGTGGACTCTGACAGGTGACAGCACACTGCAATTTGCTTGGGTTTAAGGGGATTTAGGAGCAAACAAAAACGTCTCTTAAAATGAATTCTGTTTGTATAGTTCAGAAAACTGCAAAGGAGAAACCAATAGGAAAAAAGTAGCCAAAATGGCATTGGTGCTTCTCACTCCTTATCCAAAGGAGTGGAGCTGAAGATGAGTGTCAGTTTTGTGATTAGTCAGTGGAACTCTCAATGTTCATCCCTACGTGCAGTCAGACGCGCATCCGAAGCAGAGAATAATCTTCAAAGCCTCTTTGATTGAGTTTGCGTTTTGGAGTGACAGGGAAAAAATGTCAGTATTTGTAGAACAAAGTGTTTCATGGTTCGGGCAGTCACCGGGGCATTCTCTGGCCCTGTTTTATTTCATCTTCTCTTACGAGTTAATTCAGAGCTCAACCTTCGAAAACGCCATCTGTAACCTCAAGTAGGTTCTAAAGTTTAAGCTCTTGGCAGCAGCAGCTCTTTGCAAACTGCACTGTCTTTTGTTCGCTGGGGTGGACTTTTCCTGCCCTCGTAGGAGCGCCGCAGCTCTCGCTCTCCCCAGGGCTGGTTCCAGGTTTTCACCGAAGGGCCGGAGTGGCTGCGGGCAGCGGCTGCAAGGTACAACCCAGCCCCACACTGCAAAATCTGAGGCTCTAAAAAGACCTTTTGCCATATTCCTCTCTGTGTGTGAGTATTTAGAGATTTTCATTCCCTCCCCTCTCAACCTCATCTAAACAGCTTGAACTTCTTCAGTTTCCTTCTCTAAAGCAGGTTTCCCAGATCTCCAGCCATCCCTTTAGCTTCTGGCAGGTTCTCCCTATGTCTATTGGATCCCTCCGGCACGGGTGGCACGGCTGCTGCCATACCAAGTCAGTTGTCTCACTGCTGCTATCGATGAGCTGGGCTCAGCTTTCTGACCACCGAATGTCACTCTCATTAATAAATTCAAAGTGCACACTTGTTTTCTTGGCTGCATGACATCACAGTGGAAGTTCACAATGAGCCAGTGACTGGTGATGTGACAGTCCCAGCTGAGGAGGGGGCCAGCGAGCGGAAGGTGCTGACCATGCCGACTAATCAGTGGAAGCGCACATTACCAAATCATCTCAGTTGCTGTGTGGAGTTCAGGCTGTGAAAGCAAGGAAAAATCAATCCATGGAAAATGGACCTGTCCCGGGTGTAAAACTCCGCAGACAGCCCAGTGCAGAAGGTGCGCCAGCTCTGCCGCGCTGCTGCTGAGCGCAGCCCTGGTGACACCAGGCTGGATCCGGTATCCTGGCCGCTCCCTGCCTGCTCTGGCACACGTGCCGGGTTTCTTCTGCTTGTGAGTGGGCAGGAGGCCCGTGAGGACCTCTAGGCCACGCTGCGTCTCCCCAGTTGTCTCTAGAGGCTGGTTTTTACTCATTTAACACCTTTTGTCATTGACAAACAGCTTCTTTCTTCACTGAAGGTCATTGAAAAAGAAATTGAGTAACATCAACCAAAAGCAGACGTACGCATTGATGTCAATTCTTCATTAACAACTACATTTGCAGAGCTATACTTGTTTAATATGTTGATTTTTATGTTATTTGTAGTTGTTAACCAGAATGTGATATTGAACAGCTATAGAATGAAAGCCACAGACTGCACTGACCTGGAGAGAGACAAAGGAGCGTACAGACAGATGAAGCTCTGTCTGTGGTGGGTTTTTAGCACGTCCTGGGTGACCAGACGTGTGTAATCATCTCTTTATTGCCTTATTTTTGTGATATGTTTCGGTGCTTAATAATGATATTCTTCAAAATACAAAAAGTTGTTGAAAGAAATACCCAGGATGATTAACACTTTGTGGTCTCCTGCCTTGTTAATAACCAGCACAGAAACAAGTGAATTCTGTGAGGTAGTCTTTAGTTTTCTGGTTGGGCTGAACGCTTACGGTGTGCCACTCTCACCGTCGCTGTGATGCACACAAGCCGTACTCAACGCATTTGTTCGGCCTAAGTAGACGGCCAGTTTCTTTTCCAGACTCTGATTTAAGTATAAAATAAAACCATACAGTCATGTTTCCTTAAATACCTCACAGATATCTGTAGAAATACAGTGGGTTTCTGATGCCAAGGAAAGGGAAGGTCACTTATTATCTCCTTTTCTCGTTACCTGGGTTCTGGTACAGCAAATATGTCAGAGATTATACGTCACATTGGTGGACAGAAATAGCTCTGCCAAGTCTCCTTCCAGACAGGTGATCACTTTTCCTTTCCAGACATCTGCAGCCTTTTCTCCTCTTTTTTTTTTTTTCTCTCTGTCTTTCCTCCCATGGTTCATTCTCACTTGTCTGAAAGCTCTGCAGGATGCCTGGGTCTGACGTTGAGAAGGTTCTTAACAGGAAGGAAAAAGCGGGCTTTTTTTTCTGCAAATGCAGTGCTCTTGAAAAGGGCTTTCTACTGCCAAGGTGCTGAGTGTAGATTGGATTTTATGTGAAAAGCGTGGTTGTTACGTACAGGTTTTGTGGTCATAGTACTGTGCTTTGCTCTATTTTTTTTCATTTGGAAGCAGGGGGAAGCGATGAAAACCAGACACAGTTAAATGGGTGAATTTCCTGAAGTGGTTTTGAAATACCCAGAGTTTATTTTCTGACTCTTTCTTTCTTGTGATTTGAACAGACAGAGAAAGGATGAGTTAGAACAGAGGATGTCTGCACTTCAAGAAAGCCGAAGAGAACTGATGGTGCAGCTCGAAGGGCTAATGAAACTGCTCAAAGTAAGGCATCTCCCGTCGGCAATGCCATGTGTCCTCTTCCCCGGGTCAGGAATTCCCTGTTGCTGCTCTGTCCTACCCTTATAAATACTTCATGAGGCATAGAAGGGATTTGCAAAAAAGCTGTCTCCGTGCTGGCTCTGCGTGTTGGTGCGGATGGTTAATGGGTTTTCAGCTTCGTATGCTGCTGCTTTGGTTAAAATATTGAGAACCTGTAAGATTTGGAAGGCTTTAATGAAGTATTAGTTTTGGTAATGGACTGCGTGCCGTGTACCAGTTCTGTTCTTCCAACTGATGGCATTGGCTCTGATCTGTAGTATCTGTTGTCATTTGAATTCCTCATGAGGGTCTGTTATTATTTTGCATTCAGCTCATAGTTGATGACAATAGTCTGAAATATTATGAATTTATTCTTTCCCTTCTTTAAATTGGACCAGAGGCTCTCTCTAAAGTGAATGGCAAAACACTGTCCCTACTCAAAGATTTTTTGATCTAAGATGAGATGCAACAAAGATACCACAGGTGACAGAAGAGGTGGGAGAGAGACGGCAGCGACGGCAGCGAGAGGAGCAGTGCAGGGTTTATGGATTAGCACATCCTCAGAGCTCCAGAGAAATTCAGAGCTTGTCTGCACTTGAAAGTGATAATGAATTCACATCATCTGTAAATCTGAAGTGCCATCACTCTTAGATGAGGCTCATGCTCTGGAACAGCAGCGGCTGTGATCTGGTGCTCTGCAGAGGCACCTGTTGTATTTCCTTTCCCTGTGCAGATGAGCACATAGTATCATATTTGGGCAGTAATTTTTTTTTCAAGTCAGTGGTTCTGCACGCTGTCGTTTTTTCCTGTTCAGCCTGTTAGTGTCTGTCTTCTAAAAATACTGAAGACAATCACTTGCTAGATTCACCGGGATTTCTTCAGACCCTAAACCTTTGTAAGTTGAAATGTGATATCTCTAAAAATGGGCATCAAAAACTGAATTACAGATTTCGAGAAGCACGAAAAGTTGTTGCATCAGGAACAGTTTGATTCTTTGTAGTTTGGGTGACCACAGTCTGAGCTCTTTTCTTGTGCATGTTTGAGGAGCCTCTTCATAACAAGGTCAGTTTGGGTATCTGCTTTAACATGGTGACAAGCTCTGATGGGAGTTTTTCTGTAGACACTGTTATCTTCAAAGCACTGGTGAGCCTTCACAAGACACGACCTGATGTACGTGCCGTCATCTCATGAGGGTGACCGGCTGTTCTGTCGGCTGGCTTGACGTTCTGCTCTTCCACCCGGCAAGCCTTGAAGGCCAGATGGACTGTCTTTCTCAGATGTGCTGCTCCAAAGCCATCTAGCACACCAGCTCCAGAGCAACCTGCAGACCTTTGCCCGCCCGCCAGGCAGGCAGCACACTGGACTCTTCTGCCCACGTGGCCATCACACTCTCATCTCCCAACTGCCCAAACAGTCGGCATTTCCTCTTGCCCGATGGGTTGGACACATGGATGTGGCGTTGTGTGGAGTAGCAGAGGATATCAGTGTCAACAACATGTGGATGAGGAGAGCACGGAGGGGACTGCGGGATATGGCACAAGCACAAGCTGCAGTTGGGGAGATGCAGGAGGGAGGAAGGAGGATTAGAGCAGAAGGAGTGGAACCATGACTGACTCACATGTGATAAACTTATGTTTTCAGGACTCATTTGCCAAGTGGAATCATGCAGTTCAATTATGAGCTTGACAGGGACTTTAATCATAGAATCATAGAACAGTTTGGGTTGGAAGGGACCTTCGAGTTCATCCGGTTCCAACCCCCCTGCCATGGGCAGGGACACCTTCCACTACACCAGGTTGCTCAAAGCCTCGTCCAACCTGGCCTTGAACACTTCCCATGATGGGGCAGCCACAACTTGTCTGGGCAACTTGGTCCAGTGCCTCACTGCCTTCACCACCGTTACCGCCCTCACCACCCAATGACATCTTCTAGGCCGTATTACAGAGAAGGTTAGTTTAGAAGCTGCCTCTGACTAGACTTTTCATTTCTAAATCTAGTATCTTTTAATTAACACCCCCAGTTCCCCAAATTGTTTAAAAACTATAAGGGCAAATAGAACTGGATATAAGGAGAAACTTCTTCCCCATGAGGATGCTCAAGCAGTGGAGCAGTGGAGGCTATGCCGTCTCCATCCTTGGAGGTTTTCAAGACCCAACAAGACAGGGGGGCTCTGGACAACCTGCTCTGAGATTAACTTGACCTTGTTCTGAGTAGGAGCTGGACCTGAGACCGCCTGAGGTCCCTTCCGACCTGAATTATCCTACGAGCCTGTGACTGTTGTAATTATTTGGTCTACGTGTTGCATAACACGGTTCTTTGCATTTCCCCTTCTTTGCTTTCTCTGGAGCCGGGCAGCTCCGCTTTGATTAAAGCATCTTCCAGAAAGACATCTGTTCTCGAACTGAAGAAATCAGAAATGGAAAACTCGCTGCCAATGCAAATTTACTCGCACAGTTGAAAATTTATGCCTCATTTTCAGTTTTAATGTATGTAGCTTCAGCTTACACCCATTGGCTTTGGTACATGTGGTTCTTCATCACATTAAGGAGTACTTCAGCACCCTGGGCTTTTTTCCTACGCAGATACTTACTCATCTCAGCGAAGGCACTTCTCAATCTTTCTTTTTAAATCAGTTAAACAGGTAGAGCTTTTCTGAGCTTCTCGCAATACTGTGCTTCAGTATTTTTTATGGTTGATTTCTTTGCCTTCTCCAGATTTTTAATATAATTTTTAAATTGGAAAAAAAACAAACTATATGTTGAATTCTTCCCTGAATCTTAGCAACATTGTGCAGAGAGTTACAGGAGGAGATTCATTGCTCTTCGACACTATTTTCCTTTTTGTGCCTTTCTGCACCAGGGAGTGCCTTTTGAAAGCTGTCAGCTATCCAGATCTCACTCCGTGTAAAATGCTGTATTTATTTCGTGTAGTGCTAACTGGTTAATGACAGCGTGTTGCAAGTTTGGCCTCTAAAGGAACTGCAGATGTGAAAATATGTTACATCTGTGCAGTTCCTTTGGAAGCAAAACTTGTAATGCATTCAAGTAACAAAATCCGGTTTATTTGGCAAGATCTCTTTTCCATGAAGTTATAACACTTTGTATATTACTCATTAGTTTAGTCTTGTATCAGCATTTCTGTTGTTTTGAGTAAATTAATGACAGGGTAAGATGTTTATGCTTATTTAAGATGTCTTACCTCCCTTTTGAATATCAGTGCAACATAGCACATTCCAGTCCTGCCTATTCCAAGATTTTTTAAAAATTACCGTCACTGGACCGGATAACTCCTCATGTAATTATTTTCAGAATCCCAACTGCAAGCCACCCAGGCCTGCTGATCTAAAAATATTATTTCTAGTAAATGCTATTTAACACCTTTTCTCATTATTAGTGGAAAGAGCTTCACTGTTCGCTGGTAGAAACTACACGGGGAAAGTCCTGTTAGTCAAATACAGAATAGAAATACTAATTCCCGTATTAAGAATTTTACCGTGACTGGTAAGAAGCAGAGACACCACCTCAAGGCTTTGTTTTGTTCCTGATACTTGTTTTCGTTTCACAGTCTCCTTTCTGGTGGTTTTAGCTCCGCCAGACACGAATTTTTCCCGCGAGGTTTTAGCTTCTCATCATTTGGTGCACTTCGCAAATTTTCATTTATAATTCACATCAGCTGTTAAGCTTTTATGTTTTTTTCCATTTTATGATGCAGCATTTTTTGCATTTTTACTGCTGCCTTCGTTTCACCATTTAGAGCTGGATTCAGCGTACCTACCGCTGGTTATCTGACAGTTCGGTACCGCAGCTCCCTCTGTGAAAGGAGAGAGAGGAAATTCTCTGTGTGTTCCATAGAATCACAGAATGGTTTGGGTTGGAAGGGACCTCAAAGATCATCCAGTTCCCACCCCCCTGCCATGGGCAGGGACACCTTCCACTACATCAGGTTGCTCAAAGCCTCATCCAGCCTGGCCTTGAACACTTCCAGGGATGGGGCAGACACAACTCCTTTGGGCAACTTGTTCCACTGCCTCACCACCCTCATAGTGAAGAATTTCTGCCTTAGATCTCATCGAAATCTCCTCTCTGTCAGTTTAAAGCCATTGCCCTGTGTCCTATCACTACATGCCACTGTATTTGTTCTCTGGAGGTTGGTCCATTTGTCCTGTGGCGAGCTGTGCTGCGGTAGTTGACCTCAGAGCAGAGAAAGGCCCTCGACTATTTATTGTCCCTGCCCATGGCAGGGGGGTTGGAACTAGATGATCTTGAAGATTCCTTCCAACCCAAACCATTCTGTGATTCTGTGATTTTGGTCGCTAGTGCAGAGGTCATCAAAACCCCACTGTTAGTGTCCTGCTCTGATGTTTATTAGCCCACACACTGACCTGCCCACAGCGTTGCAATTTAGAGTTAAGGTTGGTTTTTGCATCGAGTGTCCTTCCATATCTTGTTGCCAATGCGTGTGGACACTCCTGTTAGGAGGTTTCAGTTGCAGGAATTTGTTGGTGGTTTTCTCCGAAGGAGAAGTTCTGGCCCTTCAGCTCTTCACTGGGTGCTGTCATTGGTATCTTCTGCTGCGTCATCCTGGCAGGGACCTCAGCTGTACCTGTCCGGGTGAGCTCATTAGTGCCAAACAGCGTTCCTTGGACAGGAACTTGCTTACCTGCTCTGCTGGTGGTGCGGTCGCTGATGTGCCTTCGGATCAGAGCTACCAGCGCTTTCCCAAACCAGCTCCAACCACCACCGAGAGGTTATCGGGTGCCCGGACCCGTTCCCAGGAGATAGTTTGGATAGGGCCACCCCAGTCAGGGCGATAAGGGATTTAACATCATGGACGTGTGCAGATCATGCCAGAGAACAGGCTCTTGCACAATTTCACTGAATGCTGTAGCCTCCAAGCCCACAGGGCTGCTGCTGTGACCACCACAGGGCTCGCGCTGGCTGCCGATCTTGTGTCCCCTTGCCCCC